AAAACTTGCCTAGTTCAGTCAATGAGCTGGCAGAATAAGCGTTAAACCTTGCCTAGTTCAGTCAATGTAAAAGTACATGGAGCTGACAGAATAAGCGTTAAACCTTGTCTGGTTCAGTCAATGTAAAAGTACATGAGGCTGGTAGGGTAAGGGTTAAACCTTATCTGGTCAAGTCAATGTAAAAGTACATAGGGCTGGCAGGATAAGGGTTAAACCTTGCCTGGTTCAGTCAATGTTAAAAGTACATGGGGCTGGCAGAATAAGGGTTAGACCTTGCCTGGTTCAGTCAATGTAAATGTACATGGAGCTAGCAGAATAAGCGTTAAACCTTGCCTGGTCAAGTCAATGTAAAAATACATGGGGCTGTCAGAATAAGGGTTAAACCTTGCCTGGGTCAGTCAATGTAAAAGTACATGGAGCTGGCAGAATAAGCGTTAAACCTTGCCTGGTTCAGTCAATGTAAATGTACATGGAGCTAGCAGAATAAGCGTTAAACTTTGCCTGGTCAAGTCAATGTAAAAATACATGGGGCTGTCAGAATAAGGGTTAAACCTTGCCTGGTTCAGTCAATGTAAAAGTACATGGGGCTGTCAGAATAAGGGTTAAACCTTATCTAGTCAAGTCAATGTAAAAGTACATGGGGCTGGCAGGATAAGCGTTAAACCTTGCCTGGTTCAGTCAATGTTAAAAGTACATGGGGCTGGCAGAATAAGGGTTAGACCTTGCCTGGTTCAGTCAATGTAAAAGTACATGGAGCTAGCAGAATAAGCGTTAAACCTTGCCTGGTTCAGTCAATGTAAAAGTACTTGGGGCTGGCAGAATAAGCGTTAAACCTTGCCTAGTTCAGTCAATGTAAAAGTACATGGAGCTGACAGAATAAGGTTAAACCTTGCCTGGTTCAGTCAATGTAAAAGTACATGGAGCTGGCAGAATAAGCGTTAAACCTTGCCTGGTTCAGTCAATGTAAAAGTACATGGGGCTGGCAGATAAGGGTTAAACCTTGCCTGGTTCAGTCAATGTTAAAGTACATGGAGCTGGCAGAATAAGGGTTAAACCTTGCCTGGTTCAGTCAATGTAAAAGTACATGGAGCTAGCAGAATAAGCGGTTAAACCTTGCCTGGTTCAGTCAATGTAAAAGTACATGGAGCTGGCAGAATAAGCGTTAAACCTTGCCTAGTTCAGTCAATGTAAAAGTACATGGAGCTGGCAGAATAAGCGTTAAACCTTGCCTGGTTCAGTCAATGTAAAAGTACATGGAGCTGGCAGAATAAGCGTTAAACCTTGCCTAGTTCAGTCAATGTAAAAGTACATGGAGCTAGCAGAATAAGCGTTAAACCTTGCCTGGTCAAGTCAATGTAAAAGTACATAGAGCTGGCAGAATAAGCGTTAAACCTTGCCTGGTACAGTCAATGTAAAAGTACATGGAGCTGGCAGAATAAGCGTTAAACCTTGCCTGGTTCAGTCAATGTAAAAGTACATGGAGCTGGCAGAATAAGCGTTAAACCTTGCCTGGTTCAGTCAATGTAAAAGTACATGGAGCTGGCAGAATAAGCGTTAAACCTTGCCTGGTTCAGTCAATGTAAAAGTACATGGAGCTGGCAGAATAAGCGTTAAACCTTGCCTAGTTCAGTCAATGTAAAAGTACATGGAGCTGGCAGAATAAGCGTTAAACCTTGCCTGGTCAAGTCAATGTTAAAAGTACATGGAGCTAACAGAATAAGCATTAAACCTTGCCTGGTACAGTCAATGTAAAAGTACATGGAGCTGGCAGAATAAGCGTTAAACCTTGCCTGGTCAAGTCAATGTAAAAGTACATGGAGCTGGCAAAATAAGCGTTAAACCTTGTCTGGTACAGTCAATGTAAAAGTACATGGAGCTGGCCGAATAAGCATTAAACCTT